GGAAGAGAAGCAGCTGCCTGGCCGGCTGGCCATGGCGCTCAGCCAGGGTGCACCAAGCTCCACGTGGGCAGGCGCAGAGGGGAAACTGCCCAATCAGCTGGAGCACGGTTCAGCTTCCTCTGGGCTGAAGGCCACAGCCTGCTGGCCAGGCAGCTTCTCTGCACCAGCCCACGTGGAGCGTGGTGCACCCTGGCTGAGCACCACTTCCAAATGTTGAAAAACTTCTTCCAAATGTTGGAAAAACCTTTTTAAAAAAGCAGCAGTATAAGGATTGGGGATAGCAAGTGATGGAGAGGAGGAGAATAGAGAGGGTGGGGCTTCAAGGAAGGGGCGGGGCAGTAGATCTTGGTGTGGTCTGTCATTTAAAAAGTGATCTTGGGTGTAAAAAGGTTGGAGACCACTGCTCTAGGGCATCTGCATTGGCCACTGTTGAAAGACTGGATGCTGGACTAGGTGGACTATTGGTCTGACCCTGTATGGCCGTTCTTATGCTGGTCCATGATGGTGGTTTCTATACTGTTATACAAATGATAGTAAAGGGTGTTATCTAAGGATGGAGAGGTTTGCTGTTTTAAAAAGAAGCAAACCCCTGCTAGAAATGCAGGTCTGATTTACCCTGATTTACACTGAAGCCAGCTTGACAGCGAACCCTGAATGAAAATGGACGTGATAGTTACACTATGTAGAACAGTTTCATTTTTTTGTTTCCATCTACACTATTGCCAGTGCCAAGCAGTCTGAGATCATGGATCAACCCCTCCCCCAAGATCATGAGTTTAACTTGAAAAAATAATTCACATTTGTAAAAATAATATAACTGGGGTTCTTTTATATTTTCCTTCCGTTTTTTTGACTCTTCTGCGGTGATGCACTCCAGCTTCCCTTCACAGCCATCAGGGCTAGAAATTTGCTTAACACACATGAAAAAAGAAAATCCAAGGTTCTTGCAGCCTCACATGACTGCAAGAGCAGGGTAACAAGAATTATCAGGAACACTGGCATCGCTGAAAACTTTTGGGCAAAAAGCTCTTTGTTCAGGGTCAGTAACCCCAGGCTTTGAATCAAGGGATGAAAAGCACCCAACCCTTGTCTGAGTTACCCAGGAAGTCCTCCAATTTAAAAAAAACAAACAGCAGAGACAAGATTTGACATTCCTGGTATTTCTAAAAAGCAGCAGAAAAACCATTTCTCTTTCCCCTCCAATATATCTAACCATTCACTCACTCATCCTCAGGCTGTCTTTCATGTGCAAGTGTGTGTGCAAATTGGGCACACAATTACTGCATTAGTGCAGCTAATACCAAAGTGACATGGGTAATTGCATAAGCAAGTTAAGCACCCAGCAGGAGGTGCCTAGTTTTGAAAGGCTAGCAGTGATTCTGGGGTGTCTGTGACAAATATCTTGCACTGAAACAGTCTGGGGTTCATTTAGAAAAATACGTCTCCCTTTTGCTGAGTGAAATGGTTAATTGTCCTTCCAAAATGCCAGCGCCAGTCCCCATCCTGCCAGCTGCGTTCTGTCATTGTGTTTCAGCCGGAGGGCGAATCTCATGACAAGGGATGTGCAGCATCGTGTTTCTGGATCTTTGCAGCTTCCTCTTTTCTCATTCCCTTGCTTCTGTAATCACAACATGCAATGATCATAAAAAAGCTGGCAGGAATTAAAACTATTCCAACTAAATAGCCAATTAGCCAGCCACTGCATTGCAAGTTGGGCATGAAATAAATAGCCTTGAGCTAGCGCGGGCAATTAAGAAATAAAATTGGTGCTATGATAAAGCACCTTTCTGATCTATGAAGCCTGGCTCCAGCAGAGTCACAGACATATCACTAAACACCAAATCCAGGTTTCCTAAAATATAGGCCACTAGATGCTTTACCCCACGTTGCTTGGGTTCTCACCTCAATTTTTGTTTTTTGGAAGCAATCCCATTCCAGGCACATCCTGTTTTCCAGGCACAACCAAACCCTGACCTTGCCTTAAGCCCACATTTCTCAAACTGTGGGTCCTGACTCCCTAATGGGTTGCGAACAACTTGGAGGGGGGTTGCGGTATCACAAAGTTTGAGAACCCCTGCCTTAAGCTATGATCAGAGGAAGCTGTCTACCAAATTTGGTGGTCCTAGCTCTTACCATTTAGGAGGTGTTTGTGGACAGACAGACACAAAGGACTATCTCAAATATAAATATGTTAGCTTAAAAAACATTAAAAATACACTAGTAATTAATTTTCCTCCTGGAGCAGGTTATCAGTGTGAAGGAAATGGCCATGGTTATAAAGAAGGAATGTTGTGATCTAACTTACATTGGAAGGGCGTTTACTCAATTTAGCACCAAGTCATGAGGAACTCAAACATGCTGGTCGTCCCCTTGGCTTCACTGAAGTTTAACATTATGCCCATGTTTACAGTCCCTGCTGGGTCATGACCTTTGGTGAGAGAAATACCAGGGTAATGGACACACACACTAGTTTTTGCATCCATGGCAATTACACCCTTTTTACACCAGTGTTTCCGCAACCTGGTTCATGTAGCAGCTGGGTGCCACATAGCATTAAAATCCCAATGGATACAGCCGACGGGCAGCCCTCTCCTTACTCAGCTAAAACGCCAATTGAAGTCACTGAGGGAGTGAGAGTTTCATCCGTCGGCAGCATCAGTGCCACAATACATCCCAGACCACCAGTGTAAATTACCGTTTGTGTGGGGAAGGATGTTAAAAAAAACATTGTAGATGTTAAAAAAAAAAACATTGTAGCTTTAAACACTTGCTTAGCGGGAGAATAAGGGTACGGTTTGGCCTATTTTAGAGTCGCTGATCCTCAATGAAGGGAAACAACCACCATGTTAGTGAAGTACGACACAGACTCTGGTGGGAGGTATAACCCCACACCTGTGGGCACCTGGAGAGGAGACAGGTAATGAAGGCTTAGGCCTAGCAGGGAGGATCAGACTGGCTGGTTATTAAAGGAAGGAGAGATACAAAGGAGCTGGAGAGTTATAGGCTTTCCCCCCGGCGGATGATGACAGCAAGAGGAACTATGGCACGTCCAAGCCTTGAGGCAGACAGCCTGGAGGGAGACTGGGGAAAGGACTCCCTGGAGAAACCTGGTGGCTACTCAGTCCTAGGAAGAGCTGGATGTCTAAGGAGAAAGAGGGGAGAGCTTCTCAGCAAAATGGTTGCGAGGATTTAAGGTGGGACAAATAACACCCTTTTCCTTCAGCTTAGAAGCAGCTGCTGGACCGTTTTTGTCCAAACTTGTCCTGAGGTAGATGGATTCTAGCTGTGTGGCAGCGTGAGAAGCCGGACTGATCATGGAATTTGCCTGGTAACGCTCAGCAAAGGAAGGGGCTCAGCAGACCACCCAGAGGAGGGAGATAGCAGTTGCTACCGGAGGGTGAGACCACTCAAAGGGTTTATCCGGAGCCAGTTCCTGTTTCCACATGGCTGGGAGTGTTGAGTCCCCACATGAAATCTCTGTAGGCAAGCAAGCCTCACCTCCAGCACACTGGTATTACAGCACCACAGCTGGCAGCCCTGAAAAGAGCAAAGACTTTCCAGGACACACACTGGGGGCGGGATGTGGCACCCTGAATGATCCCCGATGGGTGCATGGCAGTGTCACCTTGAATGCTGAAGGGCAAGGTTTTGTTTCCAGTTTGTTACACTCAACTTTTTTTTTTATTATTTTTCTTTTACAAGACTTGGACAACTGTGGCCTCAGCAATCTCCTGTACAGTAAATCCCTGACATCATTAACGGTCTCCTCCATCCCATTTCAAAAGGGCCTGACTGTCAATATTTGTTGCCCGTTGCCTGTGGTGCAGACCCCTGACCTGATCTCCAAGCCAGAGGTGCCAGGGCCTATGAGAGCTGCGATCGATGCTAGCAGATAAGGAGCTCGTCTTTGACTGGCTTAGCCCAAAATCAGGCGAGAATGCACCACTCTCCCTGCAATAGCTTGGCTGAGATGTGACCTGGCCCCTGTTTTTGTCCTTGCTTGTGGGGCTTAGCTTATCAAAACGCAGCATCCCCTCTGGTTACCAAATGAACATGCCAAAGGTCATTGTGCTCCAAGACATGGCATGAAGTTAGCCTTCTGGATACAGCCTGTCTGTTCCCTTCATGCACGCATTAGATTAACCCTAAAATACTTCACAGAGTCCTCTTGGGAACACTCTCAGTCACCTCCCTTCTATGGAAACCCAAGTGTCCGTGTGTCCAAGTATCTCTCTTGTACCCTGGTTTCTTCTGCAGTTGGGCTCCACTAGTTGGCGCATCACGCTACCGAAAGATCTAGCAAGTTAAGGGCTTGATCCTTCGACTGAATGGCTCCTGAGTCAGCCCTGGGCATCTTGCACAATCAGACCTCGAAGAGGTCCAAAAAAGTCACTTTTCAATGTTCTGAGCCACATGCCGATACTGCTTCAGCCTTCCCTGCACAGGCTTGCCAACAACCAGAGTGCCCCCTGCCTTTTCCTTTTTTAGACTAGAAAGGACGTAGATAGGGAGACTCCCATACATACCAGCCTGACAGGATGCAATGAGCGGACAGCTCACATTCTCCTGTGCCTCCTCAAAAGGCACCACCAGCACTGAAATACCGTGTCTTGCTGGCAAGGGACTCCGTGTTTTGGAGTCCTTTGCCAGCACAAACATACCTGCCTTGCTTCTGGCATGTGGCCTCAGGCTTTTGTGGGATTTCTCAGGGCAGTTTCCAAAATCCAGCTAAAGCGGGTGTTTCTCAAACTGTGCTCCATGGAGCCCCAGGGCTCCGCGAGATTGACAAACTGGAAACATCGATAGGTACAGCACATACAATCAGTGGACCTCTGGGGCTCTGCATAAATTTTTACACATGTAAAGGGCTCTGGAGCCCAAAAAGTTTGAGAACCACTGAGCTAAAACAATAGAGAGTAGGGCTGGAACAGACACATGAACAATCCATTAAGATCAACATACTGCACTGACTACAGTGAAAGACTCTGCCTCACACTATCCCTTTTCATGTGTTCATTTTTTTTAAATTGTATCCTTTGGTATATATGGTTGTGACTGTTTTCTTCCACTATTTGATCTGAGGAAGTGGGTCTGGCCCACGAAAGCTCATCATCTATTAAACCATCTTGTTAGTCTTTAAAGTGCTACATTGTCCTGCATTTTGCTTCAGCTACCCCAGACTAACACGGCTACATCTCTACCAGGATTCCAGACAAGAGTTGAGAGCCCACACTGTGCAGTGACATTTGCAAATGGAGACTATTTTATTTTCGAAGGCATTTCTTTCACGTCACTTAGGTCACATAGTACAGAAAAGTGGCAGGGGCCAACGTGTGACCTGCCAAGATGAAAAATCACAGGCTTTTCACTTTGCCACAATTAGGCAAATACCCTCAAAAGCCTGATGAGCCGACCATGTAGACAGAAGAAACTGCTTCTGCATGGTCTCACAACACCCTCTGCTGGACGGTTCACAGATTTGGAGCCAAGGAGCAGCACTCAGGATTCCTGGTGAGTAGGAATGAGAGGAGCTGGTAAAACAATTGGGAGAACAAAAAGCAGTACTGTAACAGAGGAGAGACCCAAGGGACATGCTCATGCATTCAGACTGCCATGCAATGGAAGGCACTCCTTTCTCACAGTGCTGGTCCTGGTTTGAACACGGAGGTAAACACGATAACTGCTGGAATTGTCTGTTGTTGGACATTTGCAAAATTAGCTAACGTCTCCAACATTCTGTTATTCTTGTATGTTAGAATCATACAAGATCCATGATGGACGCAATTACGGAAATCACACTTTTTGATGATCCCTTGATTATTGAAGTTAAGTGAGGAGTGAAGCAGGGGACAGCTGCTCACCAAAGTTGTTTGCCAGGAAAACGTCCTGCGGAAGATCAAAGTGAAAGCTGGATTTCTGATTGATGGCGAGGTTCTGCAGATGCTTCTTTTCACAGATGACATCATCCTAATTGCAGTTTGTTCATTTGCCCTGTGCCGGGCTCAGTGTTCCCTCTGATTTGTTTCCATCTGTGTGTGGAATACATTTTGGTCTGTGCACCAAGGCATGCATGCATGCGCACCACTAGTAGAAACTCATGCTTCCGGCTGTGGGTGTTCTGCTAATCAGCTGGGCAGCATTTGAACCTTTCTTAGGCAGCTGCACAAGTGCTCAGCTTACAGGGAACACTAGCCAGGTTCCTCCTATTTTTAGAGATACTTTTTCCTTGTGGTTTAAAGTACAGGGAACAGGGTATAGTTCTGCCAAGGGCAGAAAATGTCTGTTCTCCTAATAAGAGAAACCCCTTCACTCACAACCGATCGGTGTGTGTGGCTATACTCAGTGGGGCTGACAGTGGGACTATACTCATCAAGTGATCCCACCCTTGTCTCAGCCTCTGACAAACAAAGGATAGGGATGCCATTCCTACCCATCCTGACTAATAGCCATTGATGGACCTAACTTCCATTATATCTACTTCTTTTTGGAACCCTGTTGAAGTCCTGACCTTCACCTGACCTTCATCCTCTGGCAAGGAGTTCCACAGGCTGACTGTGTGCTGCACGAAGAAAAACTTCCTTTTGCTTGTTTTAAACGTGCTACCTATTAATTTAATTTGCTGACCCCTAGTTCTTATGTTATGGGAACACGTAAATAACTTTTTCTTATTCACTTTTTCCACACCAGTCACCATCTGGCAAATATCAGGGCAGCTCTGTTGAACTTAATGGAGCCTCATCCATTTATACAAGCCAAGGATCTGTCCCTTTTTGTCTTTCAGCTGTCTGTAGAAAGCTTATTTTTATTTATTTATGTTGGGTATTAAAGATACAGGGCATTGTTATGTGTAGATACGGAAATCCAGAATGGCCAAGCAAACAAGGCACTATGGTTTGCTGTTCCAAGCCTTTACCATGGGCCAGGAGAGTTCTTTCATAACCATCAACTGCTCTCTAACAGAAATACATCCTAGTCCCTCCCCTGTGAAAATGAGCGAGTGAGGGTGGAGGAGAGCAAGCGATGGAGGGAGGTGGGATGGAGTGAGTGGGGTGGGCCTCGGAGAAGGACAGGGACAACAATGTTTGTTTGGTCAGAAAGTTGCCAACCCTAAATTCCCATGTCCAGTCCTCAGTCTCCATCCCACACATGTGACGGTTGCATACTTAATAAGTCTTCAGGCTCCAGCATATAATTCAGTAAGGGCACGTCTTCACACTGTGAAAGATTGCGACTGCCGTGATCAATCTTCCAGAATTTGATTTAGCGAGTCTCATTAAGACTCACTAAATTGATCTCAGAGGGCACCACTGCCGGCAGCCAGTGTGCCTGTTCTTGCCAGGAGTAAGGGAAGCTGATGGGAGTAGGGTTTCCAGGTGTCCGGTTTTGAACCAGACAGTCCAGTATTCGAGCTTTCTGTTTGGGAAACAAATTGAAAAAATAGAAATGAGACAATAGAAATGTCCGGTATTTTCTAAATAAGATGGAATATAGATTGTGATGTCGTGTCAAGTGTGCCTGGTATTTTTGTTGAAACCATCTGGCAACCCTAGATGGGAGGCTTCCATCAGCCTCCCACCGTGGGGATGCCACTAAGCTCGGCTTAAAGTAAGCCAACTCCAGCTACAAATTCTACGTAGCTGGAGTTGCGTACAGTAAGCTGAGCTACCGGGTTTAGTGTAGACCTAGCTTAAGGCTCCACGCCTTGCTGTACTTAATAGAGTGCACATAGCATGTTTGAAGTTACAACCCTTGTATAGTGGGTATCTACATTAAACCCAAATTTGCATCGTCCCACTCTTCAGGCCTGTAGCGGGAGAGTGCCATCTGCTGAGCATATACAATAACTGAGTTACTAAAGCACAACCACTTTGTTCTCTCTTGTTCTATTTGAAAGACTCTTGTTCAACAGATCAGCTGCAGACAGAATAGCTACCAATGCGGATAATGCAAATAAATGTTGATTCTCACTTTTTCAAAGAGGGTAACACAAGGTCAGGATAAGGCTATCTTGAGCCTATTATCAGGACAGTGGATAATCCTTATTAAGAAATGGCTTTAGGAAAGCCTGCATTCTGATTGGCTCAATAGCTACAGCCTTATGTCTTGGCTTCACACACAACCAGTTTGTTTACTGAAGTGAGTCAAATAAGCACAGTGTCACTTCAGCAGCAATTCGGCACAGAAGAGGCAGAGTTCTGTTTGTGAAAAGTTTAGAGATCCTTGGATAATGAGAGATGCACAGATTATTTAGTAATACTGACTTTTGTAATATTTCTCGATTTCTAACCAGTGGAAAACAGAGCCATTTATACAATGCATTTTTACATAAAAATCAAATGTCTATGTTTTTTTAAAAAACAATATAGATTACTAACCAGGGTGTCTGTTTTGCAAGCAGCTCCCAACTGGCAAATTGCTGCACAGATGTCTGTCTGCACAGGATCAGGGCTCACGTTTGTGCTAATCTTTTTTTACCTGCTCCTCTTCCATTGTCCTTCTGAATGTAATTTTATAACCTTTAAAAAATTCCTTCCCAGAAGCGCTTGCTTTTCAGTGGCATGGTTCCTCTCCCTTCTTTCTCATCTCCTTGTCTCTCCCCTGCTTTTCTCGCTCCTCTCTTATTTGTGTCTCTTCTCCCCTCCTTTTCTCCTCTTTCTGCTCCTGGCTGTGGGGCTTTTCAAAAGATTTTAAAAGTTTTAAAATGAGAAGTGACTCCTGGGTTACATGGCTCAGGGCCAATCCTTCACTGTTGAGGAAAGTAGATACAGAAGGTTTTTCTCCCCTCAGCATAGAACACTGGTCAGCTTGTTCCAATGTGAACAACTTAGTTTAAAAGAACTACAGGTTGAACCTCTCTAGCGCGGCACCCTTGGGACTTGATCGACGCCGAACCAGAGAATTTGCTGGACCACAGATCAATATTTTCTAGCTGCATTTCCAACACCGATGTCACAACAGGATCCAGCCTGTGGGCCATATTTTGCCCAGCCCTGTTCTAAGCTCTCCAGAAAGGTATGCAGCTAATTTCCCATGCTGAACATAATTTTGAAGTGGTAAGGCACATGTGTCTGGTGGTTTCCGCCTGTATTTAAACAAAGAATTCAGATCCGGAGGCAGGGCCTGCTAGAAATCCCAATGAAATCAATGACAAAACTCTGTTTGCCTTCAATCCATTTGGATCCCCAAACTGTCCCCCATCCAGGGTTTGGTTTTACTGGTAATTCATAAAAAATAAGGCCACATAAACTTTAGCCTAAGACTCCATATTAAGCTTAGGTGTCGCCCTCCAGTAGTCAACCATCTCAGTCCTAAACTCCCTCTAACTCCAGCAAAAACAGACTTCATTTTTAAACTCCATTTGATTTTCCCCACTATTTGGGAAAAAGAGGGTTGCTAACTCTTATGGGCACTATGGATCTAAAAATTTAGAGTAACCTTTAAGACATTGTGCACCAAAGTGTAAGCACTGAATGTATTTTTAAATCCATAGTTATATTATCCGTCTTTTTTTATAATTGCAGGATACACAGTTTTATCGTGCGCTACCATTCATAAAGATATAACAGGTATGTGCAGCTTAAAATAGAAAAACCCACTCTAAAAGGACATCATAATTAAAGAAATTAAATACTTCCCTTTTCCTGATTGGAGAAACAGCATGCGCACTGGCTGCAGTAACTTCTGAAGAACACAAGGAATGAGAGCAAGTTGCATGGGCAGATCGTTCTATAGAGTTAAACAGAGAATAGTTACAATTATATAATTTAGTTCTAATAACAGGCCATGTCCTCATATGGTGTAAATCAGTGTACAAACTGACTTCAGAAGAGCTATTCTGGTTTGCACCAGCCAAAGCTATGGCCTTGTAGCTTCAAGAGATTTCCAGGTTTTGATCAAAACAGGGTTAATTTTTTTTCTCTGGAGGAATGACAGCTTGGCTGGCAGAATAAGAGGGTGCATAATACAGAACCAATCAACTGCAGTAATTGCTGCACAATGGGGCATCAGTGAAAACACCATTTTCTGCCAGTGGCACGGGAACTTTTCTGTAGAGCATAAAGGCTGAGATTTCAGAGTAGATTACAACCAGGAATGCAGAAAGTGCATATTCAAGAGAAAAGGTCTGTTGCCTCCTACATTATAAACTGACTCCATAACACACAAACTATTTTAGACTGGTAGGGTACGTCTACACTACGGGATGAGGTCAAATTAAGTTCCGCAAATTCAGCTACATTAATTGCGTAGCTTAAATCGAAGTACCTTAACTCACCTTTAGGGTGATGTCCACACTGCAGGAAGTTGAAGGGAGCAGGGGCGGATGAGAGTTTTGTGGGGCCCAGGACAGCACAATTTCACGGGGCCCCTCTTTGGAGAAAAAATTTAAAAAAGGCGTCAAATGCGCAAATTGACGGCTATTTTCATATTAAATGTGAATTGGGTAAATTCGATAGAAACTTAATTTAGTTGGAAAATTTTTATTTGAATTATATTGTAAGTCATTCTTAAACAAAATTCTGCATTAATAATTAAACATTTTCATTTGTATTTAAGTCTATTATAGCTGTCTAGCTCTTTTGGCAGCACATTCTTCAATTATGTCATTAAAGTCCATTTCTTTACACAGGTCATTTTCAATCGATATAATCGAAAGACCTACAAATCGCTCCTGGCTCATAGTAGATCTTAAGTAATTCTTTATTAGTTTCAATTTAGAGAAACTTCTCTCTGCCGAAGCTACTGTCACTGGACTAATTAGCAGTAACCTAAGAGTGATATAAATATTAGGATATATGTCTTCCATATTGTTCGAACAAATTATTTTCAAACAATCATGAACTGTAATACAACTGTCTGGAATAATTCTACAAAAGTTCTGGAACTCTTCGTAAAGATCTAAACCTTCAATGTCACAGGAGTCACCATCTTGTAGATTGACATGAAGATCCATACAATGTTTTTTTAGTGTGTCCTTATCCATTTCTTTGATGCTTTTCATATCATGTAGAAAACCAAATATGTTTTTGTGATTTTTGCACAACTCGAATCGTTTCTTCATAGAAACAAGAGCAGAATCAACAATTATCAAAAAGTAGTTTATTCGGTATGATTCCTCTGCGTTTTCAATAGGTTCGTCATTTCCCTCATATGAAAACTTATTCGTTTTATTTGTTAGAAGTTTTTCCTGAAATGTTGGATTGATGTTCAATTCATCACACATCTCTTTGGCTGTAGTTAATGCACTTTGGAATCCTGAAGATCTGTATTCCTCCAAATATGATACAAGATACTTTAAACGATTTAAAGTAATATCCATTTCTATATTTGTCTTCTGCAGAATGTTGCTGGTAGTATTTACTTTAAGTAATACATCATACCAAATAATAAGGCTGGTTAAAAATTCATATGTTCTTAGATGCTTTCTGACAGCAAGTACTTCACATTTAAGTTTGTGATCCATTACCGTATTTAAAAGTACACTTAAAGCATTGTCCAATCCAGTTGTTTGAAATCGAATTGCTTTAACGCTTTCAATATGGCACTCCCATCTAGTTTCCGAAAGTGTTTTTGGTGAAGTAGAGGAGCATGTCTTTTAAATACATCCCATCTTGCTGTTGACACTGCAAAAATTGTGTAAATCCTTTGTATTATCCCGAAAAATGTCACCGCTTGCGTGGACGATTTTGCAATATCTCCCAACACTAAATTCAAATTGTGACAAGCACAGGGTACATAGAAGGCTCTTTGATTTTCTTGTAAAATTAAAGCCTGCACTCCTACATTTTACCCTTCATATTAGTCCCGTTGTCATAAGCTTGTCCTCATCAGTCTTTTAAATCTAATCCTAGATCTTTTTTACAGATAAATAAAAATTTTATAAGTGTAAATTCGCCAACAACCCCAAATTATAAAATGACTAGCAGAGTGAGAGACTCAGGTAGAAAATTATTTGTCGGGAAGCCAAAAATTAAAGAAGAAAAGAAAACTTGAAGAATGTAATCTCAGTCTAAAAGGTACTATGGAAAAATTTGTTCAAAAGACAAAAAAATTAGATGAAGAACCACAACAGTCCCAATCATCATCACTGTCATCACATTCAGATCCAGTAGAAGTAGATTCAGTGGAATTATCTCCCTTCGACTTCCCTTACTCCTGGTGAAGTGAGGGTTACCATGAGTCAGAATAAGAAGTCCTCCAGCTCGACATTATGCCAAAATAAAGGTTTGTAGTGTAGATGTGCACTATGTTATTTTGGAATAACACCAGTTATTCTGAAATCATGCTGCAGTGTAGACATAACCTTATGCTGTTTAGAGGCTGAATATCCACATTCTTCTGTAAAGCAGTCTGGGGCACTTTGAGACCATTGTATGTTTATTGCTACTGTTGCAATAAAATAAATCAAGGAAGTGTAGTGAAAAGCAGGAATTTTTTGGAACTCATCGCCCAAAGTGTGGTGTGATTGAACAAATTCTGGTTTAAAAATGCTCCTGCTTCCCCTTGTATGTCAAATGAGGGGTTATATTTTTTAGGACTACAAAACTGTGGAAATAAATGGCTCTGTAAACTGATATGAACTGCCTGATACAACAATAAGAAAAGCTTTCACAAAGCAAACATTGTTTCATTTTCATGTGCATGGAGTCTTTATACAGGTTGAATCTCTCTAGTCCAGCACCCTGGGGATCTGACTGGTTCTAAACTAGAAAATTTGCCAAACCCCACAGGAGTTCACTATTGTCTCTAGCAGCATTACCAACACTTCCACTGCTTACTGAGCACTTAGAAGACATTGAGGGATAAATTAGAGCTAAATAACAGCACAGAACACTGAGAGCAAGGACTGGGGGCTGTGAACACTCTATATGGGACTGCAGGAAACTTGGACTGGTGGTCTTCAACGGTACTGCAGGAGATCTGCAGAAAGTTTAAAAGTAAAGATCGGGCCCACTTTTCTTTTCTCTTCTCTACCAGGGTAGGGGGGAAAATTTTAATAGAAATTTTCTGTGAAATTTTAATAGATTAAAAAGGGTTCTGTCTGTATGCTTGTAAAGGTTGGGAACCACTGAACTTGATCTAATGTAATACAAATCTTAGTAACAAAAGCATGTGGCATTCTACCTCATTAGAAACCCCATTTTATCCTGTTAATAGGTTTTATCTGGTTTTATCAAATTCGTTAGCATTCCTGATTGACTCTCATGATGATAGGCAGTCTGTAACACTTCAGAACAAAAAATGATACTAAAGAAAATCCCTCTTAATTCCCATTTATGTCTCCCCATAGCTCCTTCTTCAAAATTAAAAACACTCTGAAAGGACAGTCCTGTTGTATCGTTTCAAAATGTGTCCTGTAGCTATTTTAAATAAACAAACATTTAGGTCCAAATTGGCTTAATACATCCTTCTTACCATTAAGTAGTGATATTGTAGTAGAGAAGGCCACCCTGGAAAGTAGCCATGTGGTTTTCTTTCTTTCTTTCTTAATCATGTCTCAGCATACAAGAATAAAGGGACAATCAATGAAACAAAGGCAAAAATGATAAACATGATTTTGTGCAATGCACAATTCATCTGTGGAACTCCTTGCCACCAGATGTTCTGACTTTTTAAATTGGTTTTAACACAAGGGAAGGGAAATTCCAAACTAAAAGCCATTGCAAATAAAAAAATTGGACATGGCTTGTTGAGAAAATGTCAGAGTGAAATGTTGGGGTGTTTTAGTTACACGGGTATGTGAAAAAGACACCAATTCCAATTTCTTTCTTACACTGGATGGAAAAATTAAGAGGCAACCAGTGCTAATAAAGTCCTGATTTTTAGAAGATGCTGAGCACCTGCTCTCTAGAAATTAAGCCCCTTTGAGGTCTCCCCAGCGGGACACCCAAGCCCTGAGGCAATCCCAGTGCTGTGAGTGTGTCTTGGCGGGGATAGGCGGCTGCTTTTCTTACAGCCCCAGCTATTTTGTGCACCGCAGTTTTCACTCAAATACACTTATTTTGCAACCCTCAGGGCTGTGGGAGCTGAAAACCACGCACCAAGCGCGCCCTAAGGGCTCTGTGCGGCTACCAGCCCCGCACAGGATTCGAACCGGCGGCACCAATGAGGCAGGCGCCTCGTTCCAGACACGCTCCAGCCCAGCTTCGTCCCGCGCCGCCTCCACCCAGGTGCGTATCGCACCCACTGCGCAGGCGCCAGCGATGGCACACCTCCGCCTCGCTCTCCTGCCCGGAAGGGGAAGTTCCAAGGCGCGGGCTCTGTGCGGCTACCAGCCCCGCACAGGATTCGAACCGGCGGCACCAATGAGGCAGGCGCCTCGTTCCAGACACGCTCCAGCCCAGCTTCGTCCCGCGCCGCCTCCACCCAGGTGCGTATCGCACCCACTGCGCAGGCGCCAGCGATGGCACACCTCCGCCTCGCTCTCCTGCCCGGAAGGGGAAGTTCCAAGGCGCGTTAGGGACCGGAGGGGAGGGGCAAGGGCGGGCCCCTCTGTTGGGCGGGGCTTGCCGGAAGGACCTGC